TTGGGGAAGGGCTTTCCTCCAGCCGCCCCTTGGGGAAAGGCTTTCTTCCAGCCCGAGGCCGGGCTCGCCGGCGGTGCCCGCGGCCTGTCGCCTCCTCGCAATAAGCCCCGTGACCCCCGGGGACACGCGCGCGCTGCCCTGTAAAAACACTTGGCTAGAGAACCCCCGGTTCCAGCTTTGCTCACGTTTTTTAAGCTACGTTTTTGCCTTTTTTTTTTTTTCTTTTAGATTAAGTTGTATACAAAACATGGTACTTTGAAATACCAGACAGACTGCGCTCCCAACAATGGGTATTTCATGATTCCCCTCTATGATAAGGTAAGAAATGCCAGGGCTGTCCAGGAGCTGCCGGCAGCTTAAACGTCGGAACAACACCCACCCGTGAAACGCTTGGCTCGGGACATCGTTTGGCTTGTTTTGGACTAAGCTTTCAACTGTTTTCTTTCTTAGTGCTGAGGATTATGACAAAAACCACGTAACTTTAGCTGCAGCGTTGTGTTTGTGCAGTTTGTTCGGCTGCAGCATTGGGGAACCCGAGCTACGGCCAACAACCCTGTGCTGGCAGCTGTACGGGCACTCTCAAAAAGTACAGGTTCCTACAGAGTACAGATGAAAATTTCAATTGTCTACCTCTAGAAATGAAAATAAATCTGTATGAGAATGTGTTTTGACATGACTGATTGAAAATAACTCAAATGACTAATTGCAGATGTTAAAAATGTCATAAGAAAATCATGGTGCAGGAAGCTCAGAATGTATCACAAGTTTGATGTCTATTTAACAGGAAAAATGTTTACATTCAAATTAAATACAAGCTGCCTTTGGATGGTCCGAGTATTTTGCTCTTTTAAAGAGCTGGTTAACTTAGGGGTTGGAAATAAATCCTTCCCTTCCAAATCTATGCATGTAAGATGCTTTCTGATCTCAGTGATTTCATTTTTAGGTCTTTGAGTCTTTCCATGGATAAACTTCAGAACGTATGTGGCAGAACATATGGGGTGCCCACTGATTTGAAGAGGATCTGCATGCAGATTAATACCCTTCTGGTGCAGAGCTTTTAGTGGGATTGAAATTTTGTTATCCCGTGTTTGGGCAGAATGGTTGAGTAGGACCTCCTGGTGGGAAATACTAAAAGCTGATTTGGAGCACATCTGTTGGAGCAGGTAGAGATAGATTGGAACACTTTCTAACACTGAGCTGCTTGAACATAAGCCAGGTTTGGTCTGGAAGCAGTATGAACATGATGATACTTAATTTTTGCTCTTAGCTGGCTGGATGTGAGCCCAGCAACCCAACCTGGCTGGGTAGATGTTGCTGCTTCTTTGAGCAGAGAATCTTAGGCAGGAGGGAAGGAAAATAGGACGCTTGAGTTTTGTGTCACTCTCTGCAGCATGATGCTTGTGTTCTGACTTTTAACTTTTTCATCCTTTAGCTAAATTGAATTTAGATCAGTGAAGACAGTTACTACTCCTTTATTTTTTAGGGGGATTTCATTCTTAAGATTGAGCCTCCCCTAGGGTGGAGTTTCGGTAAGTGCTCATATGTCTTCTTACAATAGGACAGTGTGTCTGCAGTGCGGGACTTAGCTATCTCTAACTTGCAGTTGGAGGGGAAACCAAGTGCTTTTCAAAAGAGATAAGACCAACTGTATGGTTTTAATAGCTAAAATGTACTTATTGTACCAGAGGAAAATAAAGCTGTAAGGTAGATGCTGACAAAGTAACCCAGGAACTGGTTTGAAGGAATGTGGGCTTTTGACAGAAATGGCTGCAGTGGGAGGGGGGGAGAGGATTTCAGCATCAGGATTTGTGGGTGCTTTAACTTTGCTGAAGCAAGACTTCCAGAGCAACGCTTGTGTGCTTGAGATAGTGCATTTAAGTGAGAGTTTTGTAAAGCTAAAGTAGAATTGCTTCATGATTGCTCACTCACTAACTACCCTGCTGTTTCCTTGTTCTTCCCCTGCAGAACCAACCAGTGTAGATATCCATGTGGATGGCATTAATGATATTTGCACAAAGGGAGGTGACATTAACTTTGTGTTCACGGGGTTTTCTGTGAATGGAAAGGTTAGCCTCCTTTACCTTTATTTATTCCACCTCATGCTAATTCTGCCTTCATAAAAACATTCTATTTCAGCTCTGTGAGTTGTTTTTACCCATTTATACTCCAGTTTCTTTTCATTTTGACAGGTTCTCAGCAAGGGTCAGACATTAGGTCCTGCTGGAGTCCAGGTTGTACTGAGAAATGCTGGCAGTGACGTAAACATACAAGCAACTATTACGCAGCCTGGAGGAAAGTGAGTGTGGGTGGTGCATACTGTTCATTTATACAAGATTCTTTTAATTCTGCTGTATCAACTGGGATTGTAGTAGTTCTGAATGATTTTTTCTAACATGTGCATAGCGTCTGAATTGTTTTTCTCTAAATGTATCTTTGTGGCTATTTCTGAAGAGCTGTAACCCCTTTCTTGCCTTACAGGTTTGCTTTCTTTAAAGTGCTTCCCGGTGAATATGAAATCTTTGCATCTCATCCTACCTGGATGCTGAAAGAGGTTAGAGCCTACAAAAATTCTGGGTTACCTGTTTAGTGAGGGCAGATCTGCTAGACCTTCTGTTGATCAACTAGTGTGAAGATGGGTTTTTACGAGTGGATAAGCTTAATGGACTCTCCGTAAATTTAATTTAGGTAGTCAAGAAACTGCCTTGTGCAGGCCCAGTTTGGAGATAGTGGAGCCAGCCGGGGAATGACTGGTAAATGAGCTCTTGCTTTCAGTCATCTAATCCTAGCAGGAGCTTGAATATTATAGCAGATGCTCTAATCCTTCCCTCTCAGACTGCTTGCTTTCTGAGGAGCTCTGGGATCCTGACCAATTCCTAAATCAGTGAAACAGGAAAAATAACTGTTTTGCAAAGTATCTTTGCTTTCCTGTCTTTGTGTTCTGAATAGCCTGTGGACCGTCTTTGGGAACTGCTGCTGGCCTCTGTTGTTGAATATACAGCTTCTGATTGTTACTTAGGTGCTGTAAATGAGATCTAATGGCTACTTTTGATGTAAATGCGTGTGTTTCTGTATTTCAGTCAAACACAGTGGTGCGGGTGACGAGTTCTAATGCTTATGCTGCTAGCCCTCTGATTGTTGCTGGTTACAATGTTTCCGGGTCAGTCAGGAGTGATGGAGAACCAATGAAAGGGGTCATGTTTCTGCTTTTCTCTTCTTCGGTGACTAAAGAGGTAATGGTTTATCAAGTTGTATTTTTTGTTTGGTTTTTTGGGGAGTTTTTTGTCCCACAAGGCCCTTGTGGAAACTCAGCATGTACACAAATCTTGTGCTACATGACCTCCCTGGAATTACTCAGACGTGTAACACAATAGCTGTCTGTTTAAATGTTGGGAAAATTGAGGCTTAAGGCCTACGTTTGGGGTTTTTTTTGGACACAAGAAATTAGAAAACTATTTTAATTTCAACTCTTTTGTTTCAAAAAATTATTTTTGTTCAACTCTTCATTACTGTTTTCAAACAACCAGCTTCCTCAACAATCAGGCTGTTCAGGGACGTAGAGGACTAAGGCCTGAACTGAAGCAAGCAACAAGTGCAAAATACAGTATGGTATTGATCTGTATATTCCCTGTGGGTCAGCAGGGTTAAGGGCTACAGTTTTAAGAGTATTTTTCCAGTTCCACCTTTTTGTATGTTAAATATTGGTTGGTAAATGTGTTCCATCTTGACGATGACGCTCCTCCATGGTGAAAGACCAGCTTCTGGCACATGGCGGAAGATGTTGGAAGACAAATCCTGAGATTCACTGTATGGTAGCTGTAATTTGTCTTCAGCCTGAGGTCTTAACTGCCCTTTGCCCTCTTATTGTGAAGACAAAGTTCAACAGCTTCTATTGCCACCTTAAAAGTGTGTTATGAAATGAGTGTGAAACATTTGGTCATGTACTGTGATTTGTTGTGTAGAGTAGAGCTCTGTTCTGTAATATTAACCTTGTCTGCAGAACTGAAGGCCGTTAATGTTAAGACATGCAGTGGAGTTCTGGGGTACTGGTGGATGTTGAATTTCTCACTTTTCTGTCCTTGTTACCATGAAGTTATGGTTATTTTTTCCTCTTTTACCTATACATGAATTGTAAGCCATGCTGTCCAACTTTGCCTCTGAAATGGTTTTGTACTTCCTGTCCTTCATTCACAGTATGGTATTTTGAACCCTCCTATGTCCCCCTGAAAGTATTTTCTCTGTTCTCCCATGGGGAAAAAAAAGTTTTCTTGCGTTTATTGCCACAGGATGTTGTGGGCTGCAATATTTCTCCTGTGGATGGATTCCAGTCAAGAGATGAGTCTCTATCCTATTTGTGCAATGTTGTGTCAAAAGAAGACGGATCTTTCAGCTTTCTTTCTCTGCCGAGTGGGAAATACACTGTGGTAAGTAGCTAGAAAGTTCATTGCTTGTCTACCCTTTGGGTGGTTAACTTTTGTTTTTCTAAACTAGATCACGCCTAACGCTGTAGCTGTTAAAACAGAGGTAGTTGAGATACCTCAAAGTGGATGAAACAATTGGAATAGGAACCCCCAACCTGCAGTGTATGACAGTGAAGTAAGCTGCAGTGACAGGGCTCCGTGGTGTGGTTTCGGAGGAAGGACTTATTCGCAGATCAGGCTCTGAATTATTGAGTGCATTGGCCAGTCACAGAACCTCACCCAGAGGCTGTTGGGAGACTGAAAGTTTCAGCTGACAACAGCCACCTCGTGCTCTTTAAGGCCTCAGCTTTCTTTTTTGCCCGTTCTCTTTATTATGTCCATGTGGTGTGGGAGGGTGGCTGTCTGTGCCCTGCCTAGAATGATTGTTCTGCATTCTCAGTCTGCATGATCTGGAAGTGGGATTCAAGCTTCCCTCATTCCTTTAACCCTTCCAGCAATCATAGAGTCTCCTTTATGGAACCTCTTGAACATCCAAGGACCTTTGCTGTGTTCTGAGCAGTGGGTTACTTTTCTGTCTCTTCAGATAATCTCGGACAGTTTCCATCAAATGATGTTGAAATACTGCCTTTATTCTCATTTCCATCCCTCTGAGTTATTTTTTCCAGGAAGTTTGCAGCCCATTTGACCATTCATAGAGGTGTCTGATGGTGTTAAAAGACAGAAAATGGTAAATGAAAACAATTCTGTCATCGTAGCTTCTTGGGAGTCAAAAATGATGTGTCTTCTTTCAGATACCATTCTACAGGGGAGAAAGGATTACCTTTGATGTTGCTCCGTCAAGACTGGACTTCCTTGTAGAGCATGACAGTTTACAAATTGAGGTAAGTCATTCAGAGGAAATAATCTTTCTGTGCCATTCATTCCTGTAAAAGTATAAATTATTCTAGCAGAAAGCAGGTGTATTACGGAAAAACTTCTTTGTAGGAAGTTTGAAGACATTTGTTACGTGTGCCCTCCTGCACAGCAGGCAGTGTTTGGCAGCGTGCTGTCTCCTTTCGCTAGGAAGAAAAAACAGGGAAAAGCTGTCTGCTCTGTGCACTTGGATGTGCGTGTTGCCAACAGGCAATAACCTTTCAGGTTGCTTAAACGTACTCGTTCAGATTATCACATCTCTGGAGAAGATGTAAGTCTGTATGGTTTGCTGAGTGCATTGTGTAATGGCATTATGGTCTGTGACTTGGGCATTCTGTGATGCAGATAAATTGGGAATCTGTTCCTGTACTTAAGGGAACAGTTTGGCTGGAGATTGAGATGTGCTTTCATTGTGATTATCCTGGTAAAGTTTTTTCCTAAAGCTGGAAATAAATTTCCTTTATATGGGTGTGTGTGGGAAACAGTTGGTGTTGATTGCTGCAGGTGTGTGTTGGCTTTTACTGAGTAAAGATTAATGTGAACTTTTTTCCTATTACAGCCTGTTTTCCATGTGATGGGTTTCTCTGTCACAGGCAGGGTGTTGAATGGTCCCGAAGGAGAAGGCGTTCCCGATGCCACTGTGACTCTGAACAATCAGATTAAAGGTATGCACTCTCTTGGTCTTTGTTGCTACAGGGAAGCCTGTATTAAGCTGAAGTACAGGACTAGTGCATGAGGTGGAAGTAAGCCTACAGGATAATACACTACATCTGTTGCAATTTATTTGAAATATTAAACTGGTTTTCATGCAGTTGATGAATTTTACGTTTTCTGGCTTAGATGAGAGTCTTAGGTGTTCATTTGTTTTGCTGTAGAAAATTTCTTATATTGTCTTTCAGCATATGCCGAATTGTGCTTTGAAATACAGAAATGAAGGTTGGTGTAGTAAGGCATAATACTGTTTCTTTGTCGTGCAGTGTAAATTAAAAATAGCCTAAAGCAGTGCATTCCCTCTAGCTCTTTTGACACGCAAGGATAGACAGGCAAGATGTGCCCTGGTTTTTAACCCATCTCTATTTGTTACAGTAAAAACAAAAGCTGATGGCTCTTTCCGCCTTGAGAACATAACAACAGGTACATACACAATTCATGCCAGGAAGGAGCACCTCTTCTTTGATACTATTACAGTGAAGATTGCGCCAAATACACCTCAGCTGGCAAACATCATAGCAACAGGGTAAGTACGGGTGTCACGATGAAAATGATATTTGATACATGAGCAAGGTCTTGAAAATGGGTGGTGCTTCCCCACGTCAGGCCCAGACTTGCGCGTGGTTGTCAGGAGCTAAATACAGCTGGAGAAATCCAAGGTAAGTAGGACAGCATGAGTGCAGGGTAATATTTAGTCCGCAGTGTTTTGCTCAAGGCTAGTTAAGGCTTAGAGCACCCTCTTGATAACCTCTCCCTTGCAAATGAAGATGGTAGGACGTGCGCATATTGAGCAATTACAGAACTGTGTGTGGACCAAGAAAGGAACAGAGAGGCTTTTTGCCACTGGTGCTGCACTTCACATATCCTCCTTCTGTGCAAGAGTGAGCTTGTCTAGTCCAGTGTTGTACCAAACATCTTAGTACTCATCACTCTCGAGGTCATAGTTGTCATACATATTCTTTTTCTTGTTTGTGGCTCTTGGACGGCTGGACATAACCTGTATAATGGCAACGGGATGGTTTGGGGAGCGTAAGGCAGTGGTGGGAGATGCAATGAGAGCTGAGGAAGATGAAGGGGGCATGGCTGGCTGTCCAGGAGCTTCTCCTGGAGAAGATCGTGGCAACCCTCTGGAGATGTGAAAACTAGGAATTTACTGAGGCAAATGGCAACTAGGTCATGCAGACTTAGCTAGCTAATTAGAAAAAAAAGCCTTCATGCAGCTAAATGATCAGCAACTGAAAAAAAAAAGTAACTAAGATGTTGTACTGTTGAAAGTGAAAAGTAAAACTTAACAGCTTCTAATTTGTCATTGTTTTGTGTTTTAACAAACGTAGGTGTAGTAGGGTTGTGTTCAAGTGAAGTACCTATCATATTGGAGGTCTTTGACACAAAACATTGCAAACCATTTAAACGTGAGGGGTGGCAATCCTGAGTCAGTTGCCTGCCTAGCTGGAAAAAATAGAAAAAAAGGAAAAAAGATTGAAGTGATGGGGTTGGGGTGGGGGAAGAGTGAAACAAGTTGCTTGCAGAAAGAAACTTAACGTCATGGTGAAAGATCCCATTAATCGTGCATGAGTTTGCCCATTTCCACTGTGTTTGCTTATAGGATCTTTTTGATATGCACACTGTTATGGGAGGAATCCATTCCAATAGTGAGGGTTACTTTTTAAAGAAGTTGTTTTAAAACAAGTGTTATTTTGGGAGCTCTGTGAAATCGATATATTTACTCTGATGTCTGGCTTTTCTTTAACAGATTCAGTGTGTGTGGCCGGATCTCAGTAACTCGTTTCCCTGACACAGTCAAACAGATTAGTAAATACAAGGTAACCATGATGCCTCAAGACAAGGACAAAGCACCACTGGTTACAACAGAAACTGACCCTCATGGGGCATTTTGTTTTAGAGCAAAATCGGGTACATACAGTGTTCAGGTAAGAAGGGCCTTCCATTTCTTTGTTGTACAACTGTCGTGAGGTTTTAGAAGATTTTAAACATTTAGTTTCTGAAATTCGAGAGGTTGAATTTAGATTTTCCTGCTCCTTTTCTCCTATTTGCACTATTTAAACAATGACTTCTTTTTTTCTTAATAAGCAGAGATTCCTGTGCTCCTAGTTCTTTATACTTGTTAAAAGGAGATCAGGCCATTGAGGTTGAAAGTACATATTTCTCTTTCCTCTTAGTTTTGATGTCACTTAGATCACTTTTTATCTTAATGTTATCCTGTGAGTGAGACATGTGATGTGTACCTCTCTCAGGTGCCTAAATGGTTCCTGAGATTATAGGTCACAACAGAACCTGTAGCACAAGCACCATGAATTTTGCATTGTGGAAGATAGTGCAGGCTGGAAGATAAGGATGTGCATGCTTTATAAGGCCTGTAATGGTCCTTGCAGATAACGAACTAGCCTAATGCAGAAGCAGCAGTGAATCCTGAAGTGAAATTCACTCAGACTTTTGAAAATGAGCTGCTTGGAGGATTTTTAGCTCAATTGTATTGCTGTTTGTTGATGGATTTTTAATACAGAATTTTGAAAAGCATATTTGGGAGGCTGGTTTTGCTTTGCCTGGCATTTACAGTAAATTTACGTTTTCTAATTTTGGATAAGTGGACTGAACTCGGCAGAGTGGGTGTATTGGGACCAGTATTTAAAATCTGGTGATGTCTCGATGTCTCATACTCTACAGGTAATTATTCCAGAGGCTGAAACCAGAGCAGGGTTGGCTTTGAAACCCAAAATGTTCCCTGTTACGGTTACAGACAGACCAGTAATGGACGTGACCTTCTCTCAGTTTTTGGCGTCCGTCTCAGGGAAGATCTCTTGTTTAGGTAAGGCAATTTCTCAGGTGGAAGCAGGAACAGAGAACTTTAGCACTGTGTGTGTGAATGAGTGCTGTTTAGATCAAGACACTTGCCGTGCTTAGCCCCACCAGCAGATAAGTAAACTAACTTCCAGCACACAGATGAAGTGGCTCACTTTCTGGGAGACCCTAGAGCCCAATAATAAATACTGGAGCAAAGTAACACACCGACTTTTAATACTTGCTAAGAATAAGCAAGTATTCCTTCCTCGGGAAGGAATTCTGACCTGTTTGCCTTCCTCAGAAAATGGGCAGGGTCTGGAAGGAAATGCACCTGGCTGACACTAGAGATACTGTATGTCAATCAGAGAAGTGCTGGAGGCAAAAAAAGACATTTAAAACACACAAAAAAAAAGCAGTGCACGTAAAAACCTGTAGGCTAGAGGCTCAGGCTGTTAACAGAAGCTTGCAATGTCTCTTCTCTTTCATAAGATTTTTGTCTTTATTTTAGTCTAAGGTCCTCTCTCCTGCTATTTTCCTTGATTACCCACTGATTTCAGGAGATGGTGATTGGAGCTTGAATTCTGTCATTTTCACCCCTTTTTCCTCTCTGAATCCTCTGCTCTAGGTGTTTTGTCTCTCGGATGTTTTCGGGTCCCTGTGGTCTGCAGAGCAAGGTGGACCCAGGGATTTAGTGTTGGCCTCTGGTTGTTCCTTGCCATTAGATAGAAGAATAAGATGAACAGTCTGGAACTTCCTGAAGAATGCAGAATAGTACTGGTAAACAGGCGCTTAAGAAATGCGAGTGAGAGTTTAATTGCAAGTGTTCTCTCCGGAAAGAGAGTCATCATTTTAATCCCAGTACACCTGAGGCTTGGTTGGAGTAGGGGTTTCAGAGGCAAAGCTGGCAAGCAGGATTGCAGTCTCATTTTTGGTTCTTTTCCGCCCAGATGCTTGTGGCGATCTGGTGGTGACGCTGCAGTCTGTGAGTCGCCAGGGGGAAAAACGCAACCTGCAGCTCTCTGGAAGCATGGACTCTGTGGCCTTCACGTTTGAAAATGTGCTACCTGGCAAATACAAAGGTAGGATGATGGGGAAATGCTTGAAGTGCTACTTTAGCAGCTAAATTTGTGAGTTAATCTGTATACTTATGTTATAGCTACTGTTTACAGTATGCCCAACATGGAACTTGTTCTGAAACTTGAGAGAATCTGGAAAAATACTATGTAACGATGCATCCAGTTGTCTTAATCTTGTTTGTTTACCTCTCTTGTCAGCTTACAGGTAACTGGTCCCCTAAGTTTTAGGGTCAGCATGGCTGGTGTGAGGAAGGAGAGCTTTGTTATGAACTGCCCTGTCCCAAGTCTAAGAACAGGGACACACCCTCGTTCTTCTGCTTGCAGACTACCTCTCCTAAGAGCAATGTCTGTTTTGGCCAGCCTACCTTTGCCTACTGTGAAAATAAATTGTTTTCCAGGAGAAGGTTTAGGAGGAGTATGTACAGATTGCTCTTTTTATACATGTCAGAACATCTTTCCACCAGGTGAAGTTGGAGTTAGGTTCTGATGTCCTCTAGGCTGCTTTGACTATTACAGTGGTAGTGTGCATTGCAGAACTTTCCAGGGTGACCAGACTTCATTATCCCTTTTTAGAATAGCTTTTCTGGTGTGAGCCAGCTCTGCTACTGCAGTCGTTGATGTGTATCTGGCTTTGAAGATTGTTGTCAGGGAAGTTAGAGTGATACAGGCTTTTCATGCCACAAAACCTGCCCCTTTTCACACAGTTTTATGTTACTGAAACGCTTTGTGTGGTGTGTATTCTAGTGAGTATTGTACATGAAGACTGGTGCTGGAAGAATAAGTCTTTGGAGTTGGAAGTCATGGAGGAGGATGTTTCGGGAGTAGAATTCAGGCAGACTGGATATATGCTGAGGTGTTCTCTTTCTCACGCAATTACACTGGTACGTAGGTAACAAACGCCCTGGTATTTTTTTAAAAAATTTACGTAGGTAGGTTGGATTGTGCTTGGAATTAAGGCTCTCTCGTGTCGCTAGGGAGTCACAGCACAGCAACATCAATGTTTAGAGTGTTGAGATTTGCCTCTTAGACTGGGTAAAATGGTCTTGCTATAAAAGAGAAGCGTTAATGTATCTTTAGGCAAATACTAGTTTCATTTTGTTGTTTGGTAGTTACTAATAGTGAATTGTGCTGTGGCTTCACAGGAATTTTATCAGGATGGAAATGGACCAGAGAACGTTGGTGTTTATAACCTGTCCAAAGGAGTTAATAGATTCTGCCTTTCAAAGCCAGGTAACAGCTCTAAAATGTTAGTTTAAAAAATGAAGAACCACCAGTCAACTAATACTGCTGGGAATTTAAAACAAACAAACAGCACTAACTGTTGTGGTTTCTGAGGTGTCTGAGGGGCATTGTTTTATTTACCTCTCTATAAAAACTCTCTGTTCTATGTCTTTAGAATTCTCCTACTATTTAGTCCTTCACTTAAATATCAATTCCAGAAGTAAAATGTTTTTCTTTGCTTTTGTCTTAGTGAAGGGCTTTGGCCTTTGATAAATGAAGAACATGAAAATAATCTTCATATGGGTGCTATTTGTCAGTCACATTAGAAGTTTCATTTCTGTACTCGATTCTTGAGGGATAACTGTTATAATTACCGCTAAGAGAATGTTTTAAAATTAGATTTCTTTTTTCTCCCTTTAATGTTTTAGAGCTAATTTTCTATTATGGCCCCTTAGCAAAACAGTTAACAAATATGTTTGCTTTTGATTCAGTTTTCAGCTTGGCTCATTTCCTCCTTACAGCCAGCAGTCTCATTCACAATACAATAATACCCTTTGACTGATTACACAACCATTGTATCAGCCGTGGGACCATAATATGTTATTTCTGAGCTTGTTCGGTTTGTTGTGTTTGTAATTATGTTTATCTGTAGTGATGCCTAATTGTGCTTGATATGGGTGTACGTTAGAAACGCTGCGCAGCTCCCAGTAGTGATGTGTGACTGAACAGAGGTGAATTGTGTCTGCGTGAAAGGCAGTAGATACACAGTCAATTTTGTGGTTGTCCGTGTACCTCAGGTTTCTCATGATCTTGAGAACTCAGCCAACACAGTAAGCTTGACGTTTTCAGTGGATCATTCTTTGACTTAATGTTTACAGGTGTATATGAAGTGACCCCACGTTCCTGCCACCAGTTTGAACATGAGTATTACACTTATGACACGTAAGAGCAAAATCTGCTTTTCATCTTACCCCTATCAGTGTGCTTGCCTAGAGGTTGTTTTTCTGCTGCAGCTGCTTTCTTTCAGCAGTCTGAGATTTCTTGCTATGACTCTCTCTAACCAGTAGAGGGAAGCTTGAGCAAAGCGTGTCAGAGGCATACTCCTGCCCTTTCTAGTCCTAAAAAAAAAGAAATCAACTGATGATAGGCTTTACAGATGTTTTTGCTACGTTAAATGGATATTTTTGTCAGCCTTCTGTCTGTTTAGTGTCGGTTTGGTTTGTAACAAAACAGGTGTTTCAGTGATGACTGTCGATCACTTGTGAGAGTTGAAATGCGGAAGGTAGGGTGTAGTAAGTTTACTAGGAGGCATACACCACCGTTGTATGTCTCTAGTGCGGTGATTCTGGTGATTTGATCCTGCTCACCCCAAGCTGAATTCACCCTAATCACAACTAAGCAGTGCTGATCTTCCTAAGACAGCTGTGTTATATTTAGTTATTTATAGCTTGTGGGCTGGCAGCGTGCTTAATGGCTCTTTGCTTCCAAAAAGAGAATTTCTGCTCCTTTTTTTTTCTGCTCACCAGCACCAAGTGAGTGAATGGATATAAGCAGAAACCCTCTTTCAGTAGCAAAGCATCTTGGTGGACTCTATCTAATATGAGAACTTTTGGGTGTTCTTCTGCTGTGTGTAGAGGGATTGCATATATGAAATCAATCCAATCAGCTTTAGCTTGAGAAGAAGCAGGAGGCATAAAGGAAGAAATTGATTTGGCCAGTGTCATGCAGTGGTTTGGGGTTCAGTGCTGGAAAATGCTCCCTTTCCAATTTGCTATCATGTCAGCACTACAGCTTTTCTGGGTAATTTGTGCATTGTCTTTTATAAAGCACTTCAAACTTGGGGATGGAGCACAGACCCTGCTAAACAAGATCTGGTTATTTTCTTTAGGAGTGGGACCTTGAATTTGTCTCTCTGTTACTTTGATTTACAGGTCCTCTCCCAGTATACTGACGCTCACTGCGGTTCGACACCATGTCCTTGGCACGATTGTAACAGATAAACTGATGGATGTGACTATTACCATTAAGTAAGAACAGAGAAATCCTGGGGCTATAAAAAGGGGAAGAAAAAGACCTCTGTCTCATAAAGTTTTACTCTGCTTTAATACCGCAGTGGCTGCTTTCTAAGGGGGTGGCATCCAGCTCCAGACTGCAAGAGGTTTTTATGCTAAGCCATGCTTTGAGCTCTCTGTAGATGGATAAGTAATTCCCAGCCCTCATTTTGAATATTGTCACTTTGTTTCAATATAGCCCCTTTCTACTTGTCTGTCGTGGTAACAAGGAATGATTTTCTACGTTTTTGTACACTTTAATGAACTGAAATTTCAGAATTACGAGGGTATTGTTTTAGCATAGTTCTAAGCTCTTCAAACTGGCATCTATTTTTTTCCTTTTTTGTTTCCTCGGAATGAAAATCTGCTGCTTTTGAGCATTGCTACTGGTGTGAAGGGGTTTATAAAAGGAAAACCATGCAGAGTGTTTACATGCTGATGCACCAATTTATGTGTAGCTGAACAGACAGCTCACTGGGGAGCACTGATTTGTGAACAGCTTTAATTGTGTGAGGTGCCAGATCTGCCTGGACGTGTCTGATGATGATGAGTCCTTTCTTAATGCTCTGCTGATGTCCACTTGTTCTAGACGGTGGGTTCTCAAACATTTTGAGGTAGAAAACATCTTTTCAGAGAACAAATTACCTGCAGGGCATCGCTTGAGTTCCCTGAGTTTCATGAACCTATAACTGCCACTGCTGGGCCACTACAGCAGCTGAAGAAGAAACAGTGAGATAGCAGAGAGCCGTAAGGATTGTAAAAACAGCTTAGTGAGGAGATGAATGTTATACCCAGCTTCTAGGCTGGTTGGGTTTTTGAGACTATTGGCAAGTGCTTTGAAAGCAGCTCAGTTGCCACGGACCGTCTCTGTTCAAACCTGCTTGAACCTCTTCAGCCGAAGTCTGGTTTGTGAAATGCCATCAAAATAAAAGGAACAGCTTTGGATTGAAAAGCAAGGCAGTTGTTTTTAAAAGTCTCTACTTGTGTACCGTATCCATGGCGGTGACCTCTTAACTTTCAGTTAATAATAAAAAACCCAAAATCAACCCAACCAAAAATAAAGCTGTTTCTTAATAATTTTTGATGATGGCTTGTTTGTGTTTGAAAAGTGAGACTGTAGTAATTTTTAATTACTATCATGAGATCATGTATGTGTCTGTACAAATTTTTAATAGGTTTTAAGACAAAAAAATATTTTTGATACATTTTTGTATTATCTCTGCATTGCAGAGAAAGAATTTAAAGCCTCAATGGACCTTAGTGTGATAGAGCAATAGTTTTTGTTTCTCTTAATAAAACCAAACCAAAAGCCAACAAAATATAGGTGAAGACTGAAGCAGGAGACACAACTATCCTGATAATCTAAAGCGGTTGTAGGAAAAGAAATTGTGATCATTTCAGTTCACTCCTTACAGAGAATTTTCTGGTGTTCGCCAACAGTTTTTCAGACTGTTGTAGAAGAGACATAAGATACAAGGTGCAGGGGGTAGTTGGAGACTGGAAGAAATTGCTACGAAAGAGAGGTGGTAAGATCAGAGAAAGTGAAAAGAGATGTGTTGTTCTGAGGTGATTTAAAGTACTTTGCTTGACCTATCTAGCAATCTGTTCAGTGGACAGGGACAGGATAGCTGGATAGTTCAAATGTGTAGGGCAGATAGGTTAGAACTCAGAGCTTTTCCTGGGAATTGCCAGCTTTTGGAAGTATTTATGTGACAGAAGTTTGTTTTCTCCTTGTATGCTCCTGAGAATACATCCTCTCCTCTACTCCTGTGAGGTGTGTTCTGAGGAAAAGTTCCCAGTACTGGAGGAAAAAAACCCAAGAGTGTTGTTTGTGTTGTTTTTTTTTTCCTTAACCAGTCTTTTTGTTTATTTTGTGTAACTTATCCTTTCTGTATTAAGCTTGTTCTCAGGTTTGGAATGCCAGCCTTTCTCTTTTAGGGCTTTGTTAAAGGTACTCATGCAAACTGGTCCTTTGGTGTGAGGAGGTACCACTGGTTGGTCAGTGCTTCCGTGGGAGGCTGTTGCCCTGCAGCAGAGCTGGTGTCTGTGCTGCAATACCAAGCCCCTCTGCTTACCCGAACCTAAGCCAAGATGCTGCACGCTGCAAAGTGCCTGAGATGTAGGCCTGTGACACTGGCTCTGCAGGGGGATGCTGAGCCATGGCAGAGGGGAGGAGGGGGCGACAGGGCCACCGTAACTTCTTGACTAGTTATAGCATGATGGGGCCGAATCTTTGAGAGTAGCAAGGAGCACCTTCCTGCTAGGCCAGGTACGTTACTGGTCTTCCCTGTGAACAAGCCTTTCTAGTAGTAACTTACTGACATGGAGCTTAAAAGTTTTAGTTATGCTTGGGATAAATAGCAGAATTAAAAAGGAATGTTTTAAAAAAAAAACTGGGACTTGTCTGCTGTGGTATAAAGGTGGTAATTAACAGATCTAACAAGCTCTTCTCCCTGCATAGGAAAGGAGATGATTTTGTTTTCTCCTCCGTGTTTTCAGGTCATCCATTGACAGTGAACCTGCCTTAGTGTTAGGGCCCCTGAAATCTGTACAGGAGTTACGTAGGGAGCAGCAGCTGGCAGAAATTGAGACCCGCCGACAGGAAAGAGAGAAGAAGGGTCAAGAGGAGGAAGGAACAAAGCCACCAGTGCAAGAAATGGTGGAGGAACTCCAAGGACCGTTCCTATATGAATTTTCATACTGGGCAAGGTAATGCCAAGATCCAGGGGGTATTTGTGCTGTTGTCTGGTGTTTCCACCAGACAGAGTAGTGATACGTTCTATATAGGAAAGAGCTGCTGTATGGGCCCCTGTGCCTGTTGTTGACAGTCAGCTAAACAGAAACTAGTACCACATAATGTGAATTTTGTTTAGGTTATGGCTGGTCTTTTTCCTTGGGGTATTTAGATGGGTTCTTGGGTCAAGATGCAGTACTCTCTTCTGCACGAGAGCTGCTAGTTCTATTTTCTTCTAATTGTATCTTATTTGTGCTTTATAGGTCTGGAGAGAAAATTACTGTGACACCATCATCGAAAGAGCTGCTTTTCTACCCGCCTTCTGTGGAAACAGTTGTTAGTGGAGGTGAATATAAATAAAATCTAGTTTGAAAGGAGTGGGTTTTTAAGGCAGAAATGTACCCTTATAGATGAACGTGTGAATAGCTCTTCAAAGGCAATGTTAGGAAGGTTTCTATTGCAGCTATTTCTTCACTCTGGAATTTGGAAGCATGGGTATTTGGTAGAGGGTGCAAGTGCAGTTCTTACCAGTAGAATGTGCTTCCAAGTGCTGAAAGACAACCTGGCATAAGGGGAAGGACTAGATTTCTGGACATTGCACCAGGTTCTCAGAGTTGTTGATATTATTCTTATCTAGAAGAATAGTTGTGCAAAAGCAGTGTTGGTATTCTGAGTTTGTTACCAAATGCAAGTTTCTCTTGTTTTCTTTCTAGTAAATTACAATAATAAAAACATTGACAAAAAAGGAAATTCCAGAGTTGTGAGGGTTGTCATCAGTCAGTATCCATCTTGCCCTCAGGTGCCAAAGTGGACATACTTCATTTGAAATCACTTGAAAATGTTAGGTACCCCTTTTTATGTGCCTCTTTGTTGTGCACATTCTAAATACGTTGGAGGGGAGGGGGAATACGGTTTTACTCATGTCATTAAACACGAGACATGCTGACCTGAATTCGATCTCAAAACCTTTTGTTGGAGCTCAGTGTAGTATCGGCTAGAAGGGAATATTGTTGCAATCTTCTCCATGGGGCTGTGGCTTTGAATCCTCAAAGCACTTGCCAAAACCAGAATGTTTGTTTTGAAGATGTGCTTACAGCTTTAGAACTTAGTTATGGATTTTGTGACTATTTAGATGTTCTAAGATGTGTTCAGAGGCCATAGAATTGTGTGAGTTGATTCTAAGGTAAAAGAAGATGAAGCGATCACTTGGGAAGTGCTTAAACTGTTGTTGTAAGACAGAATGGTGAGTGGATTTTTAACTTTCTTTTTTGTCTTAAATCCCCTTTGCCATGACCAAGAGAGCTGTCCTGGAAAGTTGATAGAGATTCATGGAAAAGCAGGCTTATTTCTGGAAGGACGAATTCATCCTGAATTAGAAGGTGTTGAGATTGTCATTGGAGAAAAAGGAGCAACTTCTCCACTCATCACAGTGTTCACTGATGACAAAGGTGCTTACAGGTGATTAACAGATTTGTTTTGATCTTTTGGATTCTTTAGTTAGAAGTGCAGTGGTGAGTTGACGACGTGTGTGTGATACCCAAGTGCTTCTTTTAAAATGAGTTATTTCCTTTCATTTGAAGTGTTGGGCCGCTCCACAGTGACTTGGAATATACAGTTGCTGCTCAGAAAGAAGGATTTGTTTTGACTGCGGTAGAAGGAACAGTTGGGGACTTCAAAGCTTTTGCTCTTGCTGGGGTGACGTTTGAGGTAATGTCCTAAACGCTTTGGGTTCTGAATGAATAGTGTGTGCACTTAGAGCTAGAGAGGAAGAAAAGTTAACCACATGTCCCTGCCAAACACAAAAGGGTCTGGGATTTCGGGATAATTTTGTTATGGGGAAACAAATCTCAGTGGGTAAGATTAGTTGCAGACCATGACTTGCCATGCCGAAGATGTTTTGCAAGGTTTATAGAGTGAAAGTTAGCACCTGCAGTCCAAAAGACTTGCTTTATTTGCTTTTGTAGAGTCGGACCACTTTTTCTTAATGAATTTTATCCCTCAAGGTGTTCTTTTTTCTCATATACAGTCTGGTCCAACTGGTGCCTAGCTCTGGTCTTTGGGATACTTTGTTCTGGCCCCTAGCATGCCCTGTGATGTGACAGAGAAGGACTGTTCGGGTGGCACATACTATGTGCAGCTGTGGCTGCCCAGATATTGAGAGCATGAGCTTTTGTATCCCTGCAGCCTCCCAGGAGGGAGTACCCTGCAGGTGTGGCTGGTTTTCTTCTGCTTACGGCTGAGTGCTCAGAGCCAGCACATCAGTGCACTCTGTAACGGGCTTCAGAATGGAACCCTTCTTCATAAAGCAACCCACACTTACATGTAAAACTGTTTCTTTTTCAAAACCAGATCAGATCAGAGGATGACCAGGCTCTTGCAGGAGTTCTGTTGTCCCTTAGTGGAGGGGTATTTCGGTCTAACCTCCTTACACAGGACAATGGCATGCTGACTTTTTCCAATCTGGTGAGTTGAAATTGATTGTTCTGAATGTGGCCGCATGTGCGATGCTGTGTTACTCTGCCCTCCAAAACAGGGATGCTGTTGGCTCTCTTCAGTGGCAGGGGGATGGGTGGTCTCCTTTGAAGTCATAGCCCACAGTGGGAGATGTAGGTCCCTCAGAGTAGACAGCACCGAAAATCTTAGCCAAGTGAAAGATGTGAAACCTAACCTGGCAAGAGGTTTCTCCCCAACGGGTAGTAGATGATCTTGATTGATCTTAGTTACTAATTTGCAGCCTGGAAACATGTAACAAGCCAATTTGTAGATGATAATTTGAGCGTCTTTAGAGGAAAGAAATCTAATTAGGTTATTGATCTGACACGTGTCGACATGCCTGAATACTTTCCTTGCAGACATCTTTCTCTCCTGGTCACCTTCCTGTCCTTGAGGTCTTGCAGTAAGGTTTTGGGGCCATGGTTTCCTTTCTGTCTTCAGGCTTTATCACCTGGTGGACTTCCATTGGTTTACTGTGCAGTGTGCTCCCTGTTTTTCAGTGCTCATGTTTTCAGACCAGTTTAACTGCTTTTTAGGGAGCTCTTGCAGGAACGCAATTGTTTGGAGTTGGTGAATTTTTGTGTCACTATCAGTAAACAGCTTGTTTTATGCCTGTTTGCAGAGCCCAGGGCAGTATTATTTTAAACCCATGATGAAAGAGTTTCGCTTTGAACCATCATCACAAATGATTGAAGTGCAGGAAGGACAGAATCTTAGAATTCAGATAACTGGTTACAGAACAGCTTACAGGTCAGTAGAGCTGAAACGCCGTGCATCGTACTGTATCGGGATGGGTTACGCAAAATGTGTGTTTTCTCCCAATACACCTCTGTTCGGAAGGTTTGGAGCATACTTTTGAGGGCACAGTTTAACTTAATTATGCTGTGTATAAGTGGGTTTTTTAGCCTTTTCTCATGCGTGTATATGGAATTTATATAGCTAAGTCCAGATGGCAAGACTGTAAGGAGAAACTTTGCTACGAAAGCAGTGTGTTGGCCACTTGAAGTGGCTTGTGCTCTGTCCAGTGGGATGGGAGAGGACTACCCTAGGGATAATAGACCAGTTTGGGTACCTGACTTCAAGATCCTTCCTTTCCTTGCCCTCAGAGGTGAGTGCTGCTATTCATGGACATCAGGGAACTTAGATTCCCAAAGTCGTCCTCTGAGCTGCAGCTAATTCTGTTGCTTTAAAGAGTTTAACATACACATTTTCAATTCCCCTTTTCTTCTCCGTGCTATGTTAAATATATTAAGTACTTTTTCCATCGGTAATAACAATAAAACGTCTTCAAAATGTGCATTAAAACAGCATCTGCACATCTCTAGCAATTGATTCTCTTTATACCTCTAGCTGTTACGGCACAGTTTCTTCGTTAAATGGAGAGCCTGAGCAGGGCGTCTCAGTGGAAGCTGTGGGGCAGAAGGATTGTAGCATCTATGGAGAAGACACAATAACTGACGAAGAGGGCAAATTCAGGCTACGTGGCCTTCTGGTAAGGATGGGAGCGCTCCCTGTTGTTTACTTTTATGTTAGTGTGATAATGGAGCAATAAAACGTGTTCTATTAATTAGCTCTGGGTTTCTGTTATCCCATCACATTTGCTAGCTGAGATTCCATTGAGCGTGTCTGCGTTACACTGCCACGTAGTGAGCGTTCATTCCAGTATAGGGGGCAAAAAACTTTTTGCGTAAGCCTGTGGGACCTGCTGCCAGCATGCTGTGGTGGGCTTCCCGTGGGCTGACATGAGCCCCGGTCCGTGCACTCAGTGTGTCTAACCGGCGCTCAGCTGTTACAGCAGGGGCCTTTCTCGGTCAGAAGAACTGGGGGAAGTGTTTAGTTTCTCTTGTGAAAACACTGTGACAGCATGTTTTTAGCAGGATATTGGGTGTATGCGTGGCGTTGGTTGTACAGCACGTAAGTAAAGCAAGCTGTGCAGGCAACATGGAAGCTGCATTTCTGGGACCACTTTGTATGGAGTAAGCAATTATGTTGAAGTATTTGATCAGGTTTTAATGCTGTTTAATACATTTTCTTTCTAGCTACAACACTTCACAGCAGATGATTTAATAGTGTAATGCAACAAACTAGTGAAAGTTCTGTGATAGGCCTTCTGTGTTTGCTGGCAGTAAATGCTGAGTTAAATTTTCTATCTGGGATAAGGAGAACTTTAACTGGAGAGCATTAGATCTGTTTGGGAGGTGTATCTTAAATGGAATCTCTTACTGTCTCCTAAAATGGAAGTGTTGGGATTTATCACTGAATGTTGCTTTTAGCCTGGCTGTGTGTATCATGTCCAACTCAAAGCTGAAGGCAACGATCACATTGAGAGAGCTTTACCGCAGCATCGTGCGATTGAGGTAATTCTTTCTCTTTTCTTGTGGCATCGCTTCGGTCTGAAATGCGCCTGTCTAGGCGTCATGTCTGGTCTGTCAGCAGCAATGCAGCTGGCTGCGTTCTCTTTAGACAAGTGGCTTTCAGCAAGTTAGCTCCCTAAACACGGGCCCCGCATTCTGTATCAGCACCGTAGCTTAAAACTGAAATAACATACAGCCCAAAGAGTAAACAAGTGCAAAGGTTTCTTTCAGAGTCACAAAAACTACACATCAAGAGATGAGAGAATAAACGCCTAGAATTCCTTTCAGCATTTCTTTGAGTGGGACAAAGCACTAGCGACTTGAGGATGTCATAAATTGTCATATCATGCTGTCTTCATATTTAGTTATGATAGATAGTCTTTGTTATGCTTTATTTGGTCCAAATCCTACAGTCTTGATGCAGATGAAATTGTCATTGAGACTAGAAACCTTTTCAATTACAAGTTGTTATTACATTTTATAAACTGATGAAATCTTATTAAGTATTCCTCCATCCTTACTGATTCAGATTAGTTGCCCTGCATTTATCTCTCAATATCCAGCAAAGGTTAATTAGCCTTCGTTAGTTGTCCAGAACCTTTCAGTGGGAGATGGTCATTACTTGAACTCAGGCATGTGCCCGACCAGGGTGCCCTCTGCAGCGAAAAAGAAGGGCAGAAATCTTTCAGCTCCGTAGTGTCCTCTTGCTAAGAGTGCTTGCTGATTGGAAAGGGAAGAGAATGGCAACTAGAATTCCAGAAAATCAGAGGAAGGTTATGTACTGCACGTGAGAGCGGTATGCAGTAGCTTATACTGACAGTATCCTGGCTAGTCTGCCGTTCTCTCCTGGAGAGAGAAGCGTTGGAATGACACCTACAGGGAAAGGGTACAGCCTCAGTGGTGCCAGACTGGTGGTTCGGCACCTGGCCTAACCCTAACCTGTCTTTCCTTACTGTGGTCGGAGTGCAGCTTTAGGAACACAAATGTTTTGTGTGCTAAACAATTTTGAAGGCTATGAAGTTACATATTTTTGAAGTAGGTTATATTATGATATGGGCTTATTCCTCATTAATCAACTGCATGAACATCCTAGCACTGTGATGTGCAGAGATGCAAGATACTGTGACCAGCGTTCAGACATCAGGCTGTCCTGTGTCTGTAACTCAGCCTCTTCCAAAATAACGCATGCTTTTGATATTCTTCCATTTTTAGTGTAGCTTAATGCCATCAGCCGTGTGCTGATAATGCACATGTCTGTAATTGCAAGCTGTGTACTCTGGAGGAAAAGTACTTGCAATTGGAAAGTCTTCGAGTTTCATGTGGTTAGTGTAGAACAAAATTCACTTCTTGTTTAGAATTCCGAGCAGTATTTGTGTTGTGCTAACTGTCTTCTGTTAACTGTTCCTCTGCTGGCAAAAACATGACCGTGTCTTCTGTTGCAGGTTGGGAACAGCGACATTGATGATGTTAATATTATAGCGTTCCGGCAAATTAATCAATTTGATTTAAGTGGAAATGTAATTACATCTTCTGAATATCTCTCCACATTATGTGTAAGTTTAAGCCTTTCATTTTTGTCAAATATATTTGCCATTGGTTTCCCAATGGTTTTTTATAGGGTCACGAGAAATTGTTCTGTAGCCAGAGTACACATTTAATTCAAATTATGATTAATACGTCAATGAAGGTGAATTTGAATTCCTGGTAGAATTGACGTTCCAATGTTGCACACTACTTTAATGTTTCCATTTTTCATGGCAGTATTTTTAAGAAATATTTTCTCAGGTTGGCCTGTACATTTCTGGGTCTGCTTCCCTGTTTATGGATGCCCTGTCCCTAGGGAGAGCAAGACACCAGGGGTGAAATGAGTCTTCTGTATCAGAGCACTGCGTTAGTTTCTGGAATACCTGGAATTTTTGGCATGCGTGTTTGCTAGCAAGAAGATACCATGTGAATGCAATGATACCATTAGGACACATGAATTTAAAAGTACAGTTATAAGAGAAAGTATGAGGCTTTGAGCAACCTGGTCTAGTGGCAGGTGTCCCTGCCCATGGCAGGGGGGTTGGAACTGGATGGTCTTTAAGGTCCTTTCCAACCCAAACCCTTCTGTGATTCTATGAAACAGCAAAGCTGAAATTTTCAAAGTTCAGAAGTCTGTACTGTGATCTGGAAATACTTGCTAAACACCTGTGATCCTTTTGGCTTAGGATGCAAATGCTGGAAGTAGCTGCAAGAGGTGTTAGTGTGGTAGGAGTCACTACTATTTCTCAGGTTGAAAAGCTTCTTGACATGTTACCTACAAATACAAATGCAGCGCCTGGATCTCTTTCAGACTCTTTTCTTTCTATCATCTCCCCTGCCAAGATCTCATTGCTAAGCTGTTGGATTTTTTGGGAGACATCCAAAGGATCCAACACTCAGAGCAGGCGTGAAGGGAAAATGTATCCCCTTCATGCCCGTGTCCACACCTGTACCTGTTCCCTATGAGGCTGGGACTTACGCAGACATTTTTGTGTGAGAGATGTGCCAGGATCTGATGCAAACGAGCGGTTTTGTGACCTCAGTCAGGTTCCTTCTGGTTGCACAGGCTTGATGAAACAACTGGAAATGCTCTGGTGAGCTGTGGTTGGAGCTGCAGCCATGGTAGCACTGGGCAGAATCAGTGAGAATGTAGTTGGGCTGTGCCTCCAAGGAGAGCCGAGTCTTGGCAAATCCTCATCCGGGGGCTTACAAACAAGGGTAGTTGCTAGAAGGCTGATTCAGAGTGGTCCTCAGAACCCATCACTTCGCTTACCATATCTTCTTGTAAGGAGGTGCTGCTGCCACTGCCATGATGCAGCTTGTTAGGTAAGTGCAGAGAAATTGAAATCAAGCAAAATGAGCCTTTAGAGTAGGAATTAGAAACAACTCCCAGCTGCAAATTCCTGTGGGAAACTGGTGGGATTATCTGGAAGAATTGCTCCATTGTGGTTGAAGCACAGCACAGACTACTCTGGATACAGTAGATATGCGAAAATGTCGGACACCAGTTGTTCCTAAATCCTTTCAAGTTCTGTAAAAAGGCTGTTTCTGTGGCTTTTCACATCCCAGATTAGAACAATTCCAGGTGTTCTTACTTGGCAACTTCCTGTTTATAAAACACACGATGAACTTTGAAATGCTTTTATCCCTGAAGATGTGGGATGTGTGAAATATCTGTTGTGCAGGCTCAGAAATGCCTGGTTTGTGCTTTCTTCTTTCCCTCACAGGTGAAGCTTTACAAAAGTGAAAATCTCGACAACCCAATTCATACAGTCAACTTAGGCTTATCCCTGTTTTTCCATTTCCCACCACTACTCCGAGATGGAGAGGTAAGAATATTGATGAATAATTAGCTTAGGTCACTTCAGTTTTATTCCCTACGGACACCGAAGCGTTACTCCTGGTGTGCCTGCGGTACTGTGTTCATGCTGGAGTGACCAGTGTCTCAGAAGACTGGAAGCCTGTTAAACTGGCTTTTGCCATTCCATGAGAGTTGTGTCTGACTGCTGCTGGTGCTGTAGGCTGAGCATATTTTTTTACCCACAGAATTACGTGGTTCTCCTGGATTCGACGCTGTCTAAATCACAGTATGACTACACCCTGCCTCAAGTCTCGTTCACTGCTCTTGGCTATCACAAGCACATTACACTGATCTTCAGTCCCACTGTAAGTACACAGTGCTTGAATGTTCCCGCGTTCACCAGGAGAGCGATGTCTGGTGGTGCAACCTGCATGTGTGTTGTGGTCTTGGCCGAACTTCCTACGGCGTAAATATAAAGGTTAATTTGGGTCTGGCCACACGGAAGGTGTCAGGCAGGGGTATCATAACCTGGTGTGTTAAGGGGAAGGAGTGCAGGGAGGCGTTGTAGCCATGCCACTAGCTGGGGGCTGGAGAAGGAAGATAGGATTGTTGTCAGAATTCCTTCCAAGACTTGTGTGTATGTGAAAGAAGGATCATCAGGCCAGAAAGAGCTTTAGTTATAGGAGCTGAGGTGGAGGGTAAAGCAGAGGGGTTCTCAAACTAACATCAGGGGAAGACTTCTCTGTTGAGGGAGAGAAGTGTCTTGCACTTCTGAAGAGTGCAGTGCTCCTTCCGTAACACCGAAACGATCTATTCCTTTCTGCATCACTGCACGCTCAGATGCCAGTGAGACAGGAGGGAGACGTGAAATGGCAGTTAGAAGTGAAGGATGCAGATGTGCCTGAAAGACTCTGGGCTACTCTGGTTGCTGCAGCAGTATCACTGGGATCAGAGAGGTTTGGGCAGCGTGTGACAGATAAATCAAAGCACACCAGGTTGGAGACTGACCATCAGTGAATTGGCTTTAAAATCAGCAAATAGGTAACAAATGAATGAACCTGATGAAGGGGACTGTGGTGAAGTTGAAGGTAAAGTAAATCTTAGAGCAGCGCTTAGAAGGAATTCTGATGGGAATGGCTGGACATGCCACATGATCCTGTCACTGATGTTGCTTATACTGAGGGATTTCATGGTCAAAATGACTCTGCTTTAAAAAAAAAAAAAAACAAACTCAAACCATGCTCCCCACTGCTTTCAGAGAAAGCTGCCTGAACAAGATATTGCCCAAGGATCTTACATCGCGTTACCGCTGACACTGCTTCTGTTGTTGGCTGGTTACAACCACGATAAGGTAGGTCATGGGGGTTTTTGTCTCATCCAAATATTATTGTCCTATCAGTGAATACAGTGTGGAGGGTTTGCTGAGGTGATTTTCCAGAGAGAGAAGCAGTCAGCAGTCACCTTAAGTGACACATTTGAAGAAGAGCCTTTAAAAGAACAGTGTGAGTTCCTGTGCTGCTTCTGAATTTTGTCTTCTCATTTGATGGCTCTGAGAGAAAAACAATACAGCATCATTCAAGTTCAGATAGCTGGACTCAGTGATAATGGGAATGGAAATAATTATTTTATTGACTTCAGGAACAATCAGACTGGAAAAAGTCTTGCAGGTCATTGGGTCTTCTCTCTTTAGCTTTACACCCTCCCAGTGGAAAGCTCTTGGGAGGAATGGAACTACCTGCTGTATAACTCCCTCTGTTAACAAGCCATGCTCTTCTAGTCTTCTCTTCTACAACTGGGTTTCTGTTTTGCTGATAAATCTGTCTGTGCAGTTTGATTTCCTCTCAGACATGGGCATGACAGCACAGAACATGGGATTCTCCGGGGTTTCTGCAGTGTCACTGAAAGTGCCTCCACTGACAGTAGCGGTCGCTTTCGAGACTCGGGACTCAAACTGCTGTTCTTGGCTAGATGATTGCAGGAAAAAACGTTCCTGACAATGATTTTAGTTTTGGATTATCAGAAATTCCCAGAAGTTTGGCTTGATTCCTTCCCAAGACCTGTTGCCATTTTCTGATATCTTTGCAGCTGTGCAATTTGCGCAGTAGATCCTGTCTGTTTGGGGATGCTTGGGTCTAAAGAACGTTGTCCTTCAGACCTTGCGTACCATTGTAACCACAAGCTGCTTCCCCCTTTTTTGTGTGGTTTTTTTTTCCCCCCAGCTTATTCCCTTACTGCTGCAGCTGACAGCTCGACTGCAGGGAGTACGTGCCCTTGGACAGGCAGGTTCTGACACGGGGGGCTCCGAGGATGCAAAGAGGCAAACAAAAAAACAGAAGACGAGGCGGACGTGAGGTGAAAGGAATGGTTGCACGAAGTGGTGCTCTCTCAAACTGGAGCCTGAGAAAGCCAAGCCACTAAGATAACGTTTTTGTTGAATTTGAGGACTTCGTGTTTCCATTGTTGCTACATGAGCGCCATTTGTCACACTTGCTCCATTTCGGTTGTAAATTTTCCACGGAGTCTACATTTTTCCTGGTTGTAAGGCAATGAAACGAGTGCCTCTGTCACTGTGAGTGCATCTCCCATACTTGAAGACAATTAATGATCTATTTTTTTCCCCTCTTCAGTGGAACTGGTCATGCCGTCCTCATTCAACTGACTTCACTTTCGGTCGCCAGATTTTGGGGTCATTTTTCCTTACCTTCTGAAATACCCACTTTGCAGAAGCAGCACACAGGGATGTTGCTAAATCAGTGGTGCTTGAAACAAAGTTTTGGGGGATGTACACGAACTGGTGAATTATGTCTTTGGCGCTTCCAGTTCAGCAGCTTGATTGAAGAGTCTGTCATCTGCACAGCTGTGATTTCCGTTCTTATCCAACGAGTATGTTATCTTAGATTAAAGTCAGGTTTTTTGCCCGATGAAGACAAATTGTTAATGTCAGGTAAGGCTGGTTATTAATGCCAGGTAAGTTCTGATGATCCCGCTGCAAAAGCAGCGTTTCGATTTCCGTTTCGTATTTTTTTCGCTCTTCCTGAAGTAGCTCCAGCTGGTTGTACTCTTCTTTCCGAAGCTCTACGGTGTCGGTGACAACCATTCGCCCCTGTGGCTGCCAGGTCACGTGCAACCTTTTTGCCAACTGATAATTTACTTTTTTTACTTTAAGAAATGTGAGCTTTTCAAAATCTCCAGCGTGTACAGTCCCAATAATGTAGTCTGTAATAAATTAGTGTTTCTTACAAGCCATCTTTGATTCTTGTTTGAAGTAAACAGTTGGACATACACAGTTTAAATGTTAATGGGGCTTTTTATTGACAAATAGTATAAAGGTTAATAGAGCTTTTGAAAGATGCACGTAAATGCCTGCAAACACTGCAAAGACATTGGTACTGCCAGTAAGTGGCAATGTTTCTCTTTTACAGTACTTGAAATAAAGTCCCTTAACATTTAAATACTAAAGTTTACAAACCCTGCCATTCTTAGAAATTTGGATGCTAAAGGTTTTATGCTGGTTTTGGTGGTATTTTGCATTACTTTGGGCCTAAATAATTAAAACTTCATTCGGTGATCACTGTCATCTCTCTGAGGGAAATTCTGTCAAGATCATCATAAAAATGAAGGCTGTTGAAGAGGCATGTGTGTGTAGAGTTTGAGATGAAGCTCTAATAAGCTATCATGCTCTCTACTTAATGACCTTGAATTTTATATTGCTGTGATGAAATATGTGGGGAATAAGCCAAGTGTTGTAAGACTTGTAATAAATTGTACATTTTCAACCCGTCTTTATTTGAAGCTGGTGAATCTTGAGACAGGTATTGCTGCTTTGGGGGAACGTATGAGGAAGAAATGCACATGTCCCTGTGCCATGAGGAGGGCGTACCAGGTATTCTGACCTCTGAACCATGGGACTTGCTGATGATTGACCTTAAACATTGGAAATGCTATTAATAAAGAGTAAAAGAAAAATAAAGTGTGTTTGCGAATTTAACGCTGGCTTCTAAACTCAGGATTTTCCCAATGTCTCCCTAACATTTTCTTTTCTTTGCTTTCTGCAGCACGCTGGCGGCCTGCTTGCTTCCAGCCCCGTGTTTTGAGGTTTATTCTGCTTTTGAACTGCTTATTCCCAACAAACACTCTATCTTGCAGTTTCTCACTTGGCAGAGAGATCGTGGTGCTCTTTGAGAACACGGGGAAGACTAACACGTGAGCTGATTTTCTAAAGCAGAACTCAATGCCAAGAAATCAATAAATCCCATTATATTTAGAAACCAATAATCGGATCCACAGACCCAAGCAGAAAAACCAGCCGTGTGGTCTCTCGGGTCCCCAGGGCCGTAAAGTGCAGGGGGAGTAGCGAAAGAACGATTAACCCGTTTGCTTGGTGAGCGAAATGTGGGCAAATGGCTGAACCCTGTTGGAAACGAGGGCGCAAGGCCTTCTGGATAAAGATGACGTTGCACATTACTTGGTTGACCTATCGAAAGCAGCGATGAACAGGACATGTATTTGGCTGGCTCATCAGTGATGCGCAGAATTCTGTTGCTTAGGAATGAAATGGATCATTAATGTTGAATTTTACAATTTCTTTATAGATGGTTCAGCGTAGTTTCTAAAGCATCATCTTTATGAGATGGCTGTCAGGTTCCAAGAACAAGTGTTTTTGATGCATAAGCAACAATGCTGTTAAATAAAAATACAGCAGTTTAAAAAAAAATGTGCTTAAAGGCAAGAAAGAAATACTTACCTCTTAGAAAAATGAGCATTCTCAGCAAGGGCGGAGAGCACAACTTTCTTCATAGTTCATAGTCCTTGTTGCACTTACATTTAAAACCTAAATTTCACTATTTGCTGAGTCTCAGTATTTAACGTAAGATACACAGTTGTATGAATCAGATTATTGGGACTAAGTGTTCATTTGTTTTTCTTAATTAAGAAAATGTAGGGGTAAACGTAGGGGAAAAATGGTCATGGAGCGGGAGATTGGGCCTGTGGGGCTCTTTGGGGCCGACCAGGGGCGGAGTGCCCAACGCTGCTTCCTTCATGGGGAGGAAATCTCCAGAACGGCTGTTGGTGTGTTACGTGCTGAGACACTGACCGAGGCTCCCCACCTCCTGCCAGGCTGCTTCTTACGCAGCAGAACAGCTGTGATTCTTGCCAACTTCTCGAACTCGCCGCGGAAAGAGAAGAGAATCAGTTTGGTCAAGGCCGACCGCAAGCATACGGCCGTTCGATGCCGTGGTGCTGTCCGTAGCTATTTGCCTTCTCTCAGCAAGTGTGTCCGGACTGTGAAAACACAAAGGCAACGCTGCCTTCAGC